CCTGCCCCATCACATTCTGAGACACACACCCTGTCCCATCACATTCTGAGACACACACCCTACCCATCACACTCCTGAGACACACACCATGTCCCATCACATTCTGAGACACACACCCTACCCCATCGCACTGTGAGACACACACCCTGTCCCATCGCACTCTGAGACACACACCCTACCCATCACACTCCTGAGACACACACCCTATGCATCACATTCTGATACACACACCCTACCCCATCGCATTCTGAGACACACACCCTGTCCCATCGCATTCTGAGACACACACCCTGTCCCATCACATTCTGAGACATACACCCTACCCCATCGCATTCTGATAACACACACCCTGCCCCATCGCATTCTGAGACACCCACTCTACCCCATCGCATTCTGATACACACACCCTACCCCATCGCATTCTGAGACACACACCCTATCCAATCACATTCTGAGACACACACCCTACCCCATCGCATTCTGAGAAACACACCCTGTCCCATCACATTCTGAGACACACACCCTACCCATCACACTCCTGAGACACCCACCCTACCCCATCACACTTCTGAGACACACACCCTACCCCATCGCATTCTGAGACACACACCCTACCCCGTCACATTCTGAGACACACACCCTACCCCGTCACACTCCTGAGACACACACCCTACCCCATCACATTCTGAGAAACACACCCTACCCCATCACATTCTGAGACACACACCCTACCCATCACACTCCTGAGACACACACCCTACCCCATCACACTTCTGAGACACATACCTTACCCCATCACACTTCTGTTTAAAAACCACCATTAGCTCCACATGAGCTGCAGGGGATCCATGCCCAGACAGCCTGCTTGTCCACTGTCTCCTCTCCCTGGCCTGCTGGCTCCCTGTTTCCACACCAGCTGCAGTTCCACGTGCTCCAAGGCACATGCTGGCATATCTCCACCCCTTCTATGGAGCTGCACCTGCGATGTGCTGGGGACACATGTGAGCACACTCGGGGGAGCAGTGCCAATGCCCCCACCACCTGTTCATGCCTTCCCATTTAGAATGCATTTGCAGGTCTCACATCAGTTGAGCCTCACAACAACATTGGGAGGGAGACAGGACCCAAGGGATGGTGCCCTTTTCAGGGCTGACAGCATTGAGGCCTAGAGTGTAAATGACTGGCCCAAGACTAGACTGGATTCTGAGCTCAACTCTGCCACTTCTTCATTGTGTGACCTTGAGCATGTCTCAAGCTCCCAATGCCTCATCTTTAAGAGTTTTTACCCCCTAGGGTTGTTGCGAGACGCTCCTGTAAAGCCTTAGTGTCTGGCACTCAATGAATGGTCGCTGCCATTGTTTTTATTTTTGTTCTTAATTGACTGGCAACCAAACCCAGGAATCAGAGCACTAGGGAGGGAAGGAAGGAGGGAAGGAGAGAGGTGAGGCTGAGACAAGCATGGAGGACATGGGAGTTTCTGAGGACGGCGGTGGGACCCTGGAAGCTGTCCTCTTGGTCCTCGGGTGCTTAGGGTTGGGAGCTCTTGGCTACACCAGCTTCTGGAAAACTGGCAGCGTGGGCTTCAGGTGCCAGAGCCTGGGAGGAAGTCAGCCCCGCCTGCACTCTGGGAAGGAGAGATTGTGAAAGACCCTGCTTGCTTCCAGCCAAGGCCTGCAGGACCCACCCTGCCCCCATTCCCCCAGAGGAGGGAACTGGCAGCAGGGAATCAGGGAGGGACCCAGGAGTCCTACCAAGGTGGTTCCTGGAACTCAGCCTTGCAGAGGGAGAGGAATTTGCCCTGGGATGGCTTCCTCCTCCTCCGCACTGATTCCTTCTGCCCCAGGCAGGAGGAGAACCACAGTTTGGGACATTGTAATGCCCAGCAATGAGGGAAGAGGAGATCACGAAGCCACTATCTGGGGGTCATTCTGTCCCTCAGTTCAACTCTGTTTAGGGTGGCCCTCTGGACGGTGTGAGATGCTAAAACACTCCTGTCCCACCCCACCAAGCCCAGAGGGTCCCACCCTCCTCCTCTGAAACTGCTCTCTGGAGCGTCACCTTGGGTTCCAGGGATGGAGCCTGGGTTTGAGTTCGAGTTGGCTGACGGCAGCGGGAGTCCCAGCCAGCTCTCAGGAGCAGCCACTCCAGCTGCTTCTTCCCTGGCCAGCCTGCCGCTGCCTTTCCTTTCCCTGTCCTCCCCAGAGTCCTCTGTAGTAACTGCAGTTCTAGGTCAGGGTTGTGCCCTCCATGTTGGTGGGTGTGGATGGAAGGGAGGGGGTTGGGGCTGGGGATGAGGGGGAAATGTTCCCTCCAGGCTGGGCCAGAGGCCCCCAATCTGTCTTCTCCTCAGAATGCAAGATCGAGCACTGCGAGGCCTGCTTCAGCCACAACTTCTGCACCAAGTGCAAGGAGGGCTTGTACCTGCACAAGGGCCGCTGCTATCCAGCCTGTCCTGAGGGCTCCTCAGCTGCCAATGGCACCATGGAGTGCAGTAGTCCTGGTAAGCCTGGCAGGTACTGTGGGCAAAGGGTCCAGGGCCCCAGGAGGAGGAGCCAGGTAGGCTTCTGGCCAGAGAGCAGTGGGCTGGGGCACTGTGCAGGGAGAGCTCATCCTACACTCCTTTCTGGGTCTCCAAGGACTTTTCTGCCCTCTGGACTAAAGATACCTGCAGCCTGAGGTCCAGGCAAAAGGCAAGCGGGAGGCGCTCCGCTGGGGTGTTCTGAGCCAGGGATGGAGACCTGATCCCCTCCTCCTTGTTCTTCTCTCTCTTCCCTTCTCTTCCTGCTAGCACAATGTGAAATGAGCGAGTGGTCCCCCTGGGGGCCCTGCTCCAAGAAGAAGAAGCTCTGTGGTTTCCGGAGGGGCTCCGAGGAGCGGACACGCAGGGTGCTCCAGGCCCCTGGGGGGGACCATTCTGCCTGCTCTGACACCAAGGAGACCCGGAGGTGCACAGTGAGGAGGGTGCCGTGTCCTGAGGGTGAGCTGCAGCCTCCGCCTCCCTAGGGTCAGAGCTCAGGCACCGGCCACGGCAGGTCCCACCACCTCCATTTGCTGCCCGTTGCTCAGGAGAGGGCTTCAGGGCAAGGCCAGATGGGGCACCCGCAACTCAAGATCTCATGTTGTCCAATCCAGATGTCAAATCCTGACAGAGAACAGAGCCCCAGAACTCTGCATGGTAGAAGCTGGAAGCTTCTGTGATCAATATCCTTCCAGTTTCCCCATTTCTTCTGAGCTGGTGGATGTTCATACTAGAAGGCCCCTTGGAGGCCAGATTTCTGGGTGGAAAGGGGGCACTAAGACCCAGAGAGGTGTAGTGATTCCACTGAAGCCACACAGCCTGCAGTTGGCAAGGAGGTGGCTGCTGCTCTTGCCTGGCCCCAGAGGTGGCTGGTGGCGGGTAGGAGGTGGGGGCAGTCCTGCCTGTTCTGAGGGTGCACTGAACACCTGGGAAGTGCTCTTCATCCACTGGGATCCAAGGTCTGAGGAACCCATGAGGAAGAGGATGATGTCTTGTGTGCCTTGAGGGCTGGGGGGTGAAAGGGCTCTTGGGATGCCTTCCAGTGCCCATGCCGCAGGGTCCTCTGAAGTTGCTGCTGTCAGAGGAGGTCACGATGACCCAGCTACCTAAGGGCAGTCTCCAGCCTCCTCCCTGCCTCCCCTTCCTGGCTTCCTCACACTCCCCTCCTAGGGCCTGTGGCCATGCCCAGAGCCTCCCCTCACATCCTTTGTTGATTCTTCCTGCTGTTTGCTTGTTGCAGGGCAGAAGAGGAGGAAGGGAGGCCAGGGCCGGCGGGAGAATGCCAACAGGAACCTGGCCAGGAAGGAGGGCAAGGAGGCGGGCACTGGCTCTCGAAGACGCAAGGGGCAGCAACAGCAGCAGCAACAAGGGACGGTGGGGCCACTCACATCTGCAGGGCCCACCTAGGGACATTGTCCAGCCTCCAGGCCCATGCAAAAAGAGTTCAGTGCTGCGCTGTGTGATTAAAGCTTTCCTGAACTGGAATGTCAGGGGCAAAGCATACACACACTCCATCCATCCATTCACACATAGACGCAAAACACATGCACTCAAACCCCTGTCCACATAGACAACCATACGTACATGCACACGTGTGTGCATGTACACACAGACAGACAGACACACACACACACACACACACACACACCCCTGAGGCCACCAGAAGACACTTCCATCCCGCAGGCCCAGCAGTACACACTTGGTTTCCAGTGCTCCCCGTGGACATGTCAGAGACAATGCTTCCCACATCTGAGACCAAACTGCAGAGGGGAGCCTTCTGGAGAAGCCACTGGGATTGGGCCAGTCGGTGTGGTAGACGGGAGCCAAGCTTGAGGACTGCTGGTGACCCGGGGAGAAGCCTTCTTCCCACCCCAGTCAGCACTCCCAGCTGTGTGACTTTATCGTTGGAGAGTATTGTTACCCTTCCATGATACGTATCAGGGCTAACCTGACTCTGAAAACTGCTTAAAGGTTTATTTCAAATTAAACCAAAAAATCAACAACAGCAGTAGCCACAGGCACCACATCCCTTTGCAGGTGTGAGGATTGGCAAGGTATGCGTGGGAGCAAGAAGGGACAGGGCATTTCAAGAGACCCCAAATAGCCTGCTGAGTAGAGGGTCATGCAGAGAAGGAAGAAAAGGGGATGCTCTGAGGGCGGTAAACAGGCTCTCTATATCCTTGTTACTCAGAGTGTGGCCCGGGGCAGCAGCGCTGTCACAGGGCAGCTTGCTAGGAATGAGAATCTCAGGTCTCATTCCAGACCTGGTGAGCCGGAGTCTGAACTGTAACAGCATTCCTGATGATTGGCGTGTTATCCAAATGTGAAAAGTGTTGCTGTAATTCCCCTTAAAGGATGGGACAAAGGGCCCCGGACATCTTGCAGCAGGAGGGGTTCTGGTCAGCTATAAAGGAGGACTTTCCATCTGGGAGAGGCGGAATCTGTATTCTGAAGGGCTAGTGGTACTGCTGGGGGAAAGGGGTGCCTAGGCTCCCAGTGATGGTTGGGGATAGTCCTGCTCAAAGGGAGGGCAGTGGATGGAATGACTCCTTGTGGCATTCTGAAGTGTGTACCAGGCTCTGGACCAGGTGCTAGGTTTCCAGGGAGAAGCCAAACACAGGCCTTACTCTTGTGGAGCTTGGAGGTTGGTGGGGAAAATTATAGGTATGCACCAAGGAATCGTACAAACGCATATATAGCTACAAAAGGATGCAGCCAAGGGCAGGTGGCCACTGGCATCTAATGTACAGCTAGGAAAATGCATACAACAGAATAAAAATAAAATACTTCCTCTCAGGGAGGCTTCTCAGAGGACATGATATTTGAGCCAAACTCTGAAGGATTGGTAGAAGGAATTAAAGCAAAGACAGGTGCTGCCTATCGGAAATATGTGAGCCACATATGTTATTCAGACCTTTTGTCTAGGCAGGGTGGCTGATGTCTGTAATCCTAACACTTTGGGAGGCAAAGATGGGAGGATGACTTGAGCCCAGGAGTTTGAGACCAGCCTGGGCTGCATGGTGAGGCCCCCATCTCTAAAACAAACCCCAAAAAATTTTTTTCTGGTAGCCGCAGTATAAAAACGAAAAAGAAAGATTAAGTTAATTTTAATTACATCTGTTGCTTAACTATATGCATGTATATATATACACATACAAAGTGTTATTTTTATTTTATTTTATTTTATTTTTTGAGATGGAGTTTCGCTCTTGTTGCCCAGTCTGGAGTGCAGTGGCGTGATCTCGGCTCACTGCAACCTCCGCCTCCCAGGTTCAAGTGATTCTCCTGCCTCAGCCTCCTGAGTAGCTGGGATTACAGGTATGTGCCACCATGCCTGGCTAATTTTGTATTTTTAGTAGAGACAGGGTTTCTCCATGTTGGTCAGGCTGGTCTCAAACTCCCAACTGCAGATGATCCGTTCGCCTCAGCCTCCCAAAGTTCTGGGATTACAGGCGTGGACCACTGCACCTGGCCCCCCTACTTTTTTTTTTTTCTCATAGAGACGAGATCTCACTATATTGCCCAGGCTGGTCTTGAACTCCTGGCCTCAAGCAATCCTCTCACCTTGGCTTCCCAAAGTGCTGGGATTACAGGCATAAGCTACTGTACCTGACCCAGCCCAAGGTATTATCTTTTTAACATACAATCAAGGTAAAAAATTATTAGTGAGCTCTTTTACATTTTTAAAACTAAGGCTTCAATGTTCTGTGTGTATTTTTACACTCACAGCATATCTTAATTTGGATGCTAAATTTTCACCAGAAATACCTGATCCATAATGACGTTGCATTAAAGTTGAAAAAGAAGATAGCCATACCCAAGTTGTTTTAAGAACACTTAACAGTTTTTCAGTAACTGAATGAAATACGTTTTCAAATTTTAAATTTGGTCAATTAAAATTAAATAACGTTAGTAATTCAGTTCTTCAGTTGCTCTAGCCATCTTTCAGATGCTCAACAAGCACATGTGGCCAGTGGCTACCGTGGTGGACAGCAGAGTTCTACAGACGCAGCATATGCAACTGTCCGGGGACAGAAAGTAGCTGGGCCGAGGAACTGAAAGCAAGCCAGTATAGCTGGAAGGCCTGGAGGACAAGGGAGTTCAGAAGATTCTAGAAAGATTGCCCTGGAGTTGGCCCTTTATTCTCAGAGCCAAGGGAGGCTGCTGAGGGGTTTTAAGCAGTAGGCCAAGACAACCAGATTTGCATTTTGCAAAGATCACTTTGTCTGTAGCTTGAAAGACAGATTAGGAGTGGCTGCTTCGGAGGCTGTTGCTGTCATCTAGGTGAGGGATGTTGGAGATTTGGACTAGGGTGGTGGCAGTGGAAATGGAGGGAATGAGCAAAATCAAAAGGTATGTGGGGCACAAAGTTGACAGACTTTGCTGATGCGTTGGATATGGAAGAGGGGAGAGACTGGGAGGGAGTTATCAAGGATGAAATCCCTGTTTCTGACTTGAACACCCAGACAGATGACAGTTCTGTGTTCTGACACACAAAACCTGTGAGGAAGACCAGTTTGGTAGAAGAAGGAAGAACATAAATCTGGTTTCGACCCGGTAAAGATGGTGAGCAGACACTGTTTAGACATAAACACAGGTGTAGTTGCACAGGGAGAGTTTGGGCTGGAATGTAAACTGGTGTACAGAAGGCAATCGAGGCTGTGGGTTTGGAAGAGGTCAACTGAAAAGACAGCACTGGGTGAAGAGAGGAGTCTTCACCCAGCCCTAATATAAAGGCCCTCTAAATATAAAGATCAGATCACAAAGGATGAGTTAAAGAAGGAGCAGGCAAGAGGAAACCCAGGGGAATATCAAGTCCCAGAAACTAGCAAGAAGGAGGGAGAGATCAAGCAAAAGAAGACTGGAAAGTGACCATTAGACTTAGCAACATGTGTGCCAACAGAACCTTAGCAGAGGTGCTTGGGGAGGGTGATGGAAGCAGACAATTCTTGAGCTGTGAAAAGGGGAAAGAGAAATAGGACAGGAACTAGAAAGAAATATGAGTTAAGAGAGTCTTTTTTCTTTAGGTGGGAAAGACTTGAAGGTGTTTAAAACCTTCTTGGAGGGGTGCACTTAAGAGAAAGTGGTTGAGTACACAGGCAAGAGAAGGGGAAGTCAGTAGTGGAAGGTTCCATGGGGAGGGACAGCGTTGCAGGAGCAAGGAGAGAGTGATGCAGGTATGGGGAGGCTGGGAGGCGAGAAAAGTGGGGGATTTCATGTCTGTGCACTTGCAGGTCTTGTCCCGTCTACACCTGTCATCTTCACTGCCAGTCACAGGCTGCCCACAGCCAGCCCCAGCCCCTCTTCCCTCAATTTTCTTTTTTTTTTTTTTTTTTTTTTTTTTGAGACAGAGTCTCACTCTGTCACCAGGCTGAAGTGCAACGGCGCGATCTCGGTTCACCGCAACCTCCGCCTCCTGTGTTCAAGTGATTCTCCTGCCTCAGCCTCCTGAGTAGCTGGGACTACAGGAATGTGCCATCACACCCAGCTAATTTTTGTATTTGTAGTAGACACGGGGTTTCACCACATTAGCCAGGATGGTCTCGATCTCTTGACCTCAGCCTGCCTTGGCCTCCCAAAGTGCTGGGATTACAGGCATGAGCCACCCACCCCTCTTCCCTCACTCTTTACCTTCTCTCCTCTCCTTGACCCTGGCTTTGTCTTTGCAAGTCTCTCTGTCCCTATCCATCTTCCATCTCTGTGTTTGTTCTCTCTGCCTTTGCCCATCTCTGCGTCTCTAACTCTGCCTTCTTGGTCCCTCTTTTTGCCACCCTGACCTCCTCTGTTCCCACTTCAGCCTCTGACTCTATTTTTGTGCACCATGGATTATCTCTGTCTTCCTGCTTCTCACTTCTGGGCATCAGTCCTCAGTCCCAGTATGTTTTGGCCGTCTTTGGCTCTGATTTGTCCCTGACCCTTAGGCCCGTGCTACTCAAAGTGTAGCCACGGACCAGCGACCTTGGCTTCATCTGGAAGCTTGCTAAAAATACAGACTCTCAGGCCCTTCCCAGACCTAAAGAATCTGAATCTGCCTTGTAAGAAGATCCCTTGGGAAATCTGTGCAGATATTTAACAATTTGAGAAGTACTGTCATAAGCTTTCCTCCACACCAACATCAAAGCAGAAATCCAGAATCTTAGCAACATCAAAGAGAGAGCTGGATCCTCTTGTATCTCCTGTCATCAACTCTGTGATGCTCTGAGCTATCCCGCTTCTCTACATCACATCTTTCAGCCACCTAAAGCTGCTCCTGAAGTCCTTCAGACAGCTAAGACAAGAAACACAGGATGGGTTTCAGGAAATCCTGAATTCACTGATGTACATATCACACTTGAGCTTCCGCATCTGCAGAATTACTGGCAAGAGCATCTGATGCTGATACACTGGGTGCTTTCAGATGTGATTCCAGTACCCTTCCTAAAAAACAGTGAGCCCCACCAGGACCTGCTCCTGTCTGTCTCACCCTGTCCTGTTTTGAGCTGCAGAGGGGTGTGTGTTTTAAAACCTGCTCACCTTCCTGGAAGCAACCCACCTGAGGCAGAGACCATAAGTGCTGAGAGCAGCCCAGAGTTGGTCCAGACATCACACCCTGTGCTTTTCAGGATGAGTGAGTGCTGGAGAGAGGGAATCGACGTCAAGATGTAGAGCTGCCTAACCCTATTCCAGGTTTAGGCAACAACAGCATGTGATTGTATGCGGTTGTTACGTGCCCACATTGTTATTTGGAAAATGTTAGCTTTTTCTTCTACAGGGCCACAGATTTGCCCAGACTAACACATTTCTGGCCACCGTACGCAGTCCCAGCTCTGGTATGTTTCAGATCAACTCTCCAGAGTGTAGATTGGTTTTCCATTTCAATATTTTGGGTGATGGGGTTGTGTTTTCTGGATTTGTTTATTTAAGAGGGGATTTTTTTCTTTCTGGTTTGTTTGGTTTGGTGTAGGAGGACTGAGAGGGAATTTAGGAAAAGGGTCAGCTTCTTGGGCTC